AATAAAATATTCTGCATTTGAATTGTCGATCAAAAAATTTAGTCCACTTCTGGCTGTCATGGGGGGAGGATCTCGTTTTGTTGGCATAAAATTAATTCGAAATTGGATTAAATCAAATAATGAAGGGAGGTAAAGAAAACGACTGTAACATTTTTGATTCACATGGTTCGTTAACTCCAGAAGAAATATCTGTTCTATGGAATGTTAGGTACAAAGCTTCTGTGATCAAATATAGTCAATGAAATTGAAAATATTGATAATAAAAAAATCGTCTGAATCTATATGAATATTGCTATTATAGTTGAAACTGTGAACTAAAGTTTATCATTAAAATAAAGTGTTGAATTGAGAGAGAAAAGAAATAGTATTTTTCATTTTATCGTTCCCAGTTCTCGGAAGTCGGGCTCGGCGTGAGCGCGTAGTGGGGGCAGGGAAATAGAGTCGAATTCTCCGAATTCGCTTCCCCTATCCCGCAAAACAGTCGATTCTAACCAGAGTCCACTGTAGTCAACATTGCCCCAACGTTAGCAGCCAACATTACCATAAAATTGGTAGTCAACATTTCCAACTTTTCCCTGAATATTGGTTTCAAAATACATTTTTTCAACAACAAATAATGCAATCAAATTCATGATCAAACTCTATCACGATGGCATTGGGAAGAATATTGTAAATCACAATTGGATTCATTTAAATATCTTGACCATCGAATATTCATGTTCATATTCGAACTCCCAAGGCCAAAATGAATTATCTTCGCACAAAAAATTAGAAATTTCGAATTTGACGATGACAATGCTCCATTCAGAAGCAAAAATCAAAATATACAGCGTATCGACACGAGACATCACATTGCTATTCCCCAAAGGACAGGTGAAAGTCCATTTGCTTCATTCCACAAGTTACTCTATCGTACACTGCAGAAGAATAACACATCTACATTCATTGTCTATTCGACAATAATAGAATTTCAAAGTTGCAGTAACATTGAAACTTCGTACTTGGTTCAAGGATCGATGGTAGACCTTTTATTTGTCATTGCCGTTTCATTGTCTGCAGGAGCGATGAATCAGCTGTGTGTCTAATGAATGTACGTCGAATACCTTCTGGAATTCCTTTCCAAGTTTGAAGATTATGAACCACTGAACTGGAATTCCCTCAGAAAATACTCGAAACGTGTAAAAATTTTCAGATTTCTCAAATTCATTATTCCACATGATGCTCATTACTTCTATGAAATCTAATTGCAAAGAGCCAACAACAAAGTCAAAATCATTAAAATTCCACGACAAATCCGGAACAATTGACCTCCTTCACCAAAAAGGAAAACGGAATTTAAGGATATGCCGTTAAATCGACAATAAAATAAATTTCTTATACTCTACGTGTGCCTCAAGGATCTCTTTGTTGCAACCAACAACCACATACATGCAGTAATGGTTTTTAGTAATACCATATGTGAGACTCAAACACCTGAACATGAGTAACCACAAATATCGTGTCTATACTTTCTTCATCAATTGAAAAAATACCAGAAATTCTCCCTTTTGTCTGTGAAAATACCGACTCGTACAATTGAATTATTCCAGCATCTAATATGGAAGGTTGAAATGTCATCGCCTGTGAGCCAAGAAAATAAGCATGCCCGAATAGAGCAGAGCATACCTGAACAAAACAGAACAGAGTACATGGTTTTGAATTGTTAATCAACTGATCACAAATACCTGATCATTACATAATTTATGCAATACGTTATCGTGCCATGGTTAATTATGCAAATTTGTCACTGCACGGGTACAAGGTATTCCGGAGTGCAGTCGTGCCTTGTGCACTAATAAACCTGGACATTTAAAAAACATCGAGAATTTTATTAGCATAAAATAGAGAAACTTATCGAGATAGTTTATACCGTAGTCAGTGATTTGAAAGTTTTAAATATTTTTGATAAGCAAGGGAAGATCAACAGTAAGTCAGTAATTCTTTGAACGAAGGAAAGATGTAAATTTTGTTTCGTCCGAGGCAAAGGAAAGGAAACAATAAACATCAACAAATTCCTCAAAATCCTTAACATATTTTCAATTTATTTATTGGCCAGTTTTCCTTAGATATCTGCAAATCTAGGAGACAGCTAAATTTTTGTCATAACCTTTTTTATAGTCCTCAATTCGCTCTACAAGAAAGGTCATTACGAAAATTTCGTTATCTCCTTCAGATTCGGAGATATTCCTCGAAAACTCAGCTAAGGACTGAATCGGCTTGAACGGTTGTTTTACCATTTCGTTACTGAATTGAAACTTTCCTTCTAGTTTTCCCTCTGATGAATCACTCGTTAATTCCAAATAAGTCATGAAAAATGGGTAAAATAACTTGTCACTGCATGGGTACAAGATATTTCGAAGTGCATCCTGGGGTATTTAAAAAACATCGTGAACTTTATTAGCATAAAATAGAGAAACTTATCGAGATAGTTTTTATTGTAGTCAGTGATTTAAAAGTTTTAAATATCTTTGACAAGCAAGAAAAGATCAACAGTAACTCGCCAATTCTTTCGAAAGTTTTACACTTTTGTTCCGCTGAATGGACGAAAGATGTAAATTTCATTTCGTCCGCGACAAAAGAAACAATCAACACCAACAAATTCCTCAAGCTACTTAAAACA